ATTTTTTTTGCTTAGATGCCATCTTCTAGTTCATCACCAACATCAGCAACAACATATGAGCGAACTGCAAATAGTAATCATGGTAAATTTTTGAATATTCGAAAAAAATAAAAGAAAAAAGAATCATTTTTTATTTCGTATTAGGAAGTTCACCAAGAAATTTATTACCATTAAGACTTGATGAAAGAAAAGATTGTGAATTTGCTTTACCATTCAATTATGAATGTGATCCTTCATCAAATCCTGGTATGTTTTTTAAATTGAATTCTTTTATTTTATATATATATATATATATATAATATTCAATTTTTAAGATCTCGATGATGATGATGATTCATTAATGCGACAAGTTCTTGCCATATCACAAATTGAATATGTTGAAACATTAAAAAAACAACAAAAACCTCCGAAATCAGATGATCCAGATGAACCATCATCTTCATCGGACACACATCTTTTGTAGAAAATGTTTTTTTTTTCTTCTCTTTTTTTGTTAATTTATATTCTTCTCTTTCTATCCTACTGGTATTTCTTTAAAAAAAAAAAACAACACAAAACATAACATATACGAACAGGTAATGTGTGTGATGCACGTTTGAAAAAAAAATTTTTTTTTTGCTCTTTTTCTTTTTTCTTTTTCTCTTTTCTCTTACGTTTATGTCAATTATATCGGTGTGTGCGTGTATATGTTTGGAATTAAACGAGAGTCATATTTCGGATATATCTCTCGATTTCATTTCAGATAATGTCAAATAAAGAAATAAAAAATTCTAAACGTAAATTAAAATCTGATGATAATGATAATGATGATGAGATATGGTCGAAATTATCACGTGAACAAATTATTCGACGTTGTAAACAACTTGAAAAACATGTTGAACAATTAAAAAATACGATTATAAAAAAAACAGATAATGAATCAAATGAGAAAAAAAATAAAAAAATGAGACCATTTGATTTTAGTAAACATTCTAAACGACATATATTTCTAAAATTTATTTATCTTGGCTGGGAATATCATGTGAGAATAACAAAAAATATTGATCAGAATATATATGAAAATTTCTTTTTTTCGTTTTTCTTTAATAATTTCAGGGTTTTGTAGTTCAAGAAACAACATCACAAACAGTAGAAGATTTTTTATTTGATGCTCTTATTAAAACTCGATTGATTGAACAACGAGCAACATCTAATTATCATCGATGTGGACGAACAGATAGAGGCGAGTGAATTTTTAATGAAAAATAAACGAAGTTCTTATCTTTATCTAAGCGATGGGTTTTCATTAGAAAGACAGAATAACAATATGACTCAACACAATCAGCTATGAGATACCTAATTGTGTGCAAAGGTCGTTCTATTCCTATGAATCATGATAGTCAGTCTGATATTTCTTTCATAAAGGAAATATATTTCGACATTTATATCCTATTGTTTCTTATAATGAAGAAAAACCTATAACCTTTTCTATTCTTTACAATCAATCGAAAGCATAGAATACAAATTCATCTAAATTTTTTTTTTATCATAATCTAGATTAATAACAAAAAAGAGATAATATTATATCTATAAATAGAAATATATTCTGAATCTATAAATCTTATATTGATGAGTACAAAATTGTTTGGAATGTTTTTTTGCATTAAAATATTTCTGTGTCATGATTTCCCATGAGTATACTAATACACGGTTAAAAATAATATTTTCCCAGGAGAGGACGGTACGCTTCAAAAAATAAATGACATTAACATTGAATTTTTGTACCAAAAGAAAAGTTCATTGAAAATGGGACATATAAGTATAATTAGCAATTCATAAGATTAACTAGAGAATTATCGAATGTATAATTAAAGACTAATCACGAAAAACGGATAGATCTCAGGAAATGTTTCATCTTATCAGGCTTTGTAGAGTTCTCTTTTTTGATCATTTCAATACATAAACAATGGTGTTAAATGTTTGAAAGGATATCATTCCTGAAAAAAAAAATTATTTCTAATTCTGTATATTAATTTGTTTTCTTTTTTTTCAGGTGTAAGTGCATTTACACAAGTGATTTCAATAACTGTTCGATCGAAAATAACTACAGAATGGTAAAAAGATTTTTCTTTTGATTTTATTTTATTATATAAATAATTATTTTATTCTAGTACTGAAGAACTTAATTATGTACAAATGTTAAATGGTGTTTTACCTAGTTCAATTCGATGTATAGCATGGGCATCAGTACCCGATGTAAAATCTGCTCGATTTGATTGTATATCACGATCATATCGATACTATTTTCCAAAGTAAGAAATTAATTTGTATTTCATTTGAATTAATTTATTCTTTCCAAAAAAATATATAAAGAGCAAATGTTGATCTTCATCGAATGCGTCAAGCATCAATTGATCTCATTGGTACACATGATTTTCGAAATTTTTGTAAATTAGATATAACAAATACAGAACCAACATTTATTCGACGTATTGATAATGTAACTATTGAACAATTAAATATAGATAATGATTTAAATAATTCTAATTCTGGGTAAATTTTTTTTTTAAAAAGAATATATTTTCAAATACAAAAATTTTGTTTTCTTTATTAGTTATGAAATGTGTGAATTAATGGTACATGGTTCAGGATTTTTATGGCATCAAATTCGTTGTATTGTTGCTATTTTAATATTAATTGGTCAAGGAAAAGAAGATACTGATTTAGTTAAAACATTACTTGATATTGAAAAATATCCATGTACACCAAATTATCAAATAGCATCAGGTAAGATGATTTATTTTTTGAATAATTTAATTTTTAATTTTTTTGTTTAGATTTACCTCTCGTTCTATTCGATTGTCAATTCAATGGAGTTGATTGGATCTGTGATCAAATCAGTCTTCGTATAACTATTTGTCATTTACAAAGATATTGGTCATCATTTCAAATTCGTGCTACTATGATTAAATCTATGTTAAATAATCTAGAAAATCAAATTTATGATAAAAAACAATTGCCAATTTTAGGTCAATTATCACTTATTGAAAATGAAAGTAATTCATTATTAGGATATAATAATAATAATAATCGAAGAAATTATCAACCAATTTTAACTCGTCCAGTACGAGAAAGTGTTGAAGTTAAAATTGAAAAATATCAAAATAAAAAAGCTAAATCAGAAATAATCAATGATGATAATAAAAATGAAACAAATAAAACAGATGATTTAATTGTTTAAATTTTTTAAATGTTTTTATTTTCTTCTTCTCAAATAAAATAATATTTGAGATTAGTTATCTATTTTTAAATAATCAATTTCTTTGTCATTATTTGTTTTTCAATGAAAAGGTGAGATATCTCAAAGTAAAAAATATATCTGCAAATAAAATTAATGTATACTTATTGCATAACTATGAACAAGACTCGGAATAGAGAAATTATAATAATGCTATCGTGTAGGCAATACAAAAAAAAAAGATCGGGAAAGCTAAAGTCCTTGGCACATTAGAAGATTTGAGATACTCTATCTATTTTGCCTTATCATTCATAAGTTACACGAAAAGTCTTCTACAGTCGTGGGCAAAAGTAGTTATCTCCTATGAAGTGCTACTATTCTTTATTATATTGAGCTGATATTGTGGGTTCATGCGGGTGACGGGTTACAGAAATTCCGGTCTCTCCTTAAACTGACCTCCTTGACCCCTAAAACAGGCCTAATATTTTTAATTAATTGCTAGATATCGTAGTGCTGATCAGGACGATATAGTGTGGACATGAATGAAGGTCAAAAAGAGACCCACACCCACGTCATTTTACTCAGCATTACGATATCTAGCAACTAATTTCAAAAAAATTAGGTTTTTTTATGAGTCAATGAGGTTAGTTTAAGGAGGGCAGAAAATTCTGTGGACCGAAATTTTGGTCTCTCCGTACGATAATAAACCCTGATCACAAGTATCAATCCATCCTTCATTGATTCAGATATCATCGTCTTCTTGTGATCACCTTATTTCAACTATGTTGGCACAAATATTTTCGTTCAACTTCTCATTCAAAAGACCACTGTCATACCTATCTCTAGGATTGGGTGTTGGTATGGGTCTTATTGCACCTTCCACACCTACATCAGTTGTTACTGTCTCAAACTAGACATATGCAACTGTCTTTAGCGTTAGAAAAGAAAACAGTAGCAACTTATGAAATTGCAAAATAATAAACAAAAAGTATTTGAGCACATATTTTCGCTGAATATGTTTTTCACAAGGAAAAGAACATGTACGAATCAGAACTTCAACAGATGTAAATTGATGGAGGATGGGTTTAGTGCTTGCAAATAGGATTTATTGTCGCACGCATGCACATAAAATATCAGTTCAATATTCATATTTCTTTAGTAGTTTTTCCGACACTTCTTAGTTTCAATTCATTTTTGTCCAATACATCTCTGGTAAACGAGTTTATTTCACCTTTCCTTCACTCGTACAATGTATAGAAAAAAAGGAAACAATCGTTGGTAAAAACGAGTATTTTTAGAACAACATATCGGCATAATGTAAAATTTTGATACACTTTGTAGTAACACTATCATCTCCAATGTTTTGTTTTGGTAATTTTACTCAAGTCAATTGCTTAGATTGGGGTTTGACTAGAGTAGACAAAAATTCAAAATGTACAACTAGCATAGTTATTAATTTCCAGCTAACTTGAATCAATACAGTTATCTATGAAAACAGCAGTTGAATACACATTCAATGTTTCTTGGTTTATGAATTTGACTGAATATGTTTCTATTTTGAAAAAAATCTCTTTATGTGTAACTTTTTCTAAATGTGTCCAATGTTAATTAAGTTTTAGGATCATGAAAATGTTTTTACTTTTGTCTTTAGATAATAGTTCAAAAGAGCACTGAAGCGATATGACAAGAAAAAGAAAATTATATTCCATGATCTTTAATCATTTATTTTATTCATAAATACACATACACACACACACACACACACACGGACGAAAATGAAATTTTACACTTGACTCTGATTATTATCATATACATGACCATTTTCTTCAAATAATCGATCCGAACTCTAAACAAAAAAAAGGAGAATATTTTCTAGAATATCTATTTATAAATTTATTCGATAATTTTACTTGATAATTATCTCTTCTAGAATATCTTAAGGACATTTTCATTGCTGCTGCTTCATTCAATTGAATACCAGCAATGCTAAAAGGAGAAAGACAAACAAAAATAAAAACAAGATAACATTATTAAAACAAAATAATCTATTGACCTTAATCTCATATTTCGTCTCATAACATCAACAAAATTATTCTAAACAAAAAAAAAACAAAGGAAATTTTATCTTTTTTTCAAAAGTCTCTACGGGAAAAAACAAAAAACATTAATTTACTTTTGTTTGTTTGGCTTCATTATTTGCTTTAACAAAAAATTCTAATACAGCAATTAAAATAGCCAAAGCTAAACCACCAATTAATATATAAAATATTCCAGCAACATTTACTAAATTAAGTGCAATATTTTGTTTTGATTCCTATTTTCAAATTAAAATAAGAATGAAAATTTTCAATTGAACTTTTTTTTTTTTTTTGACAAACTTTTGTTGTAGTACTATGACATTCTGATCGATCATACCACCATTTTTTTTTCAAACTATTTAATATACCATCTTCACTCATATCAAGTATAGCTATATTAATTGCTTCTCTAGAAAAATAAAAAACAAAATATTTTTCAAATTAAATAAAAAAATTTCATTTTTTTTTTCTACCGTAATTCTGAACCAACTGGTGTTGCTATTCCATAACCTTTTGAATCTAAATTTGAACCTATTCTCATTGTATCACAAGGTGAACGTTCATTTGTATATTCAATTCTAGTTGACTTTTTTTAATTAAAAATAAACATTATATTGATATTTATTATACTATTTATTTGAACTTACTTCAAGTAAAAATGCATATTTTCCATTAGATTTTCTAAACAATTGTTATTCATTAATGAAGATATTGACCAAAAAAAAAAAAAAAAACTTACCGAACTTTACTAATACCTTCTTCATTACTAGCAACTAAAACATCATCACTTTGTTGCATATATGTCCACATACGATGAAAAATTTTAACATCTGATTTCTAACAAGAAAAAAAACAAAACAAAATGAATACTTTTAAATCAAATACATAAAGAAAGAATTACTTCAAAAAATGCTTGTGTTGCACCACCACGTACAACACCATATTTTATTTCTCTTTGTCTTGCAAGATCTTCGACACTTTCAATTGATGTTACCATTCGTCCAACTGTTAGAAAAGCAGCTACAAAAATCGAACAAAAATATAGATATTCGATTTTAGATTTTAAACAAAAATGTCTATTCTATATATCTTTTTCTACTAACCCCAATTGGCAGTATATGATGAAACAAGAATCATTGAAAAATACCACCATACACTGGCAACTAGTCGACCTGATATTGATCTAAATAGGCGAGAATCAAAAGTAGTCATAAGTATTGTAAATATATTTTCGATATGTACTTTTCTGATTTGATGCTGATTCACTAAAAGGAAATTTTTAATCGAAGCTAAAAAGCGATATCTATACGGATTGTTTTATATATATCATTTTTGTATTATTTTAATTAAATCTATCTCAATTCAAATTATATGAAAATCTTTATTTTTATACATTAGAAGCAATATGAAATTTTCACGAGAGAAATTCACCAATTGATAAATCATTTTTGAATCAAGACTATGTACATCATGTAGAACCTAATGAGCTATAAATATTCTGAAAAGAGCTCGTGCTGTTAGCTTATTGCATTCGAAATACCGAAATTCTACGATAGTTTTTAAATGGATGTCATAGTTTAGAAAAACTGATTTTCGAATTTTCATTGTTCTTAGCTTAAGATACAACTATGGTAAAAGCGTGTATTTTACATTATTGATTTATAACAGTCGGTTCGATGTTCTTATTTCAGAATAGAAACAAATTAAAAGATCTAACATTTTCATAATAAACTACTCTTGTGAAGGTCTGTCTCTGGCATAAGGTTTCAAGTCAAAATTCGAAAATGAATTTTTCCTGATGTTTCTAAGCGGAACTATGGCATTCACTTAAAGACTACAGTAAATTTGCAGTAGTGTCTTGCAGCTAGGTCGAGTAACTGGTCCAATGTAAAGCATACCAAGGTTAAGAAGTACGAATCGGTTCCAGTGAAATCCAATTATTTCTGGAGATCGGAATCATAGACCTGGATAGGTTCGAATTCGGACTCGGCAATATATGATATCTCAACGTTTTAAAATATTATTACTTTTTTGTATAAAAGCATAGGAATGAAAAATCGATTCGATCATAATTGAACAATTTATTGTACTTGACAACAGATTACAGAAATGGAAAACGATTTTGTTAAGAGAATTCATTTTTAATGGAAATTCATCTACAGATGATGTGAAACCATATGATGAAGTAATTGAATACATGGAGAGGAAAATAAATTATTGAAAATATGAACATCTATTATGGTGACAGAAAAAGTATTCATGTATGTATCCCTAATTATGACGTTTCACACTCACATTACGTTCCATTTCAATGTTATCAATAACAAGCAAAGGTATACTTAGCAAAATCGATCAGATTTTAGAAACAGAAAGACATCAAATGATTTACTTTCTGTTTTGTAGAATTTGAGATGATCTCTTTATGAAAAAAAAAAACTAAATAGTATACTTTTCCATATAAAATAAAAGTTTGAAAACTACTATAACTATGAAAGTATCTGCCGGATGTCAATTCGTTCCGTACCGGGTATAGCTAGTCGGATCCGGACGCGAAAAATCGTATCCGTGCAGGAGACAGTAACTTATAAATGAATGAAAATATGTTGTAGAAATAAATTTACCTTGGTATAAAATCTACGCCTTGTTGCATAAAAGCCGCTAAGGCAAAAAAGAGTGTATTTAAAATAGAAAATTTATTTGATAATTGTAATGTTTCTTCATTCTTCATACTCCATTCATATGGTGAAAAACGTGAAACAAGAAAAAGTATTACACTAACACCAATATATGCAAATGTAACACACATCCAAATATCTTTTGATAATGGTGCCATAAATGAAAAAACATCTTCAAAACAAAATTTAAAAAAAATCAATATTAAATAAATTATATATATATATATATATGCATTTTTTTCTCCCTCACCTGGTTTAGTTCTTTCTGGTTTACTCATTAAAATACTAATACCAAGATTCATCCATGGTTTACTAAAATCTACTGCATTTTCTCGTTGACTTGTTATTGTTAATGGTGCAATAGCAAGATCAACTTCATGTCGAACTAATTCACCAATCATTCCAGTCCATGGTTGATCATCAGCTGGTTTATTACCAAATGAATTATCTTTTGCAATACGAAATTTACATGGAATTTCAAGTTTTTTTTCACATATTACACGAGCTAAATCAACACAATAACCATATAATTCATCAAATGTAAAATATTGACCAAGTGCATCAGATACAGTTAAATTTCCAACAACACTTTCGTTTAACATTGTAAATGGTTCATCCTAAAATCAAAAAAACAAAAACAAAAATTCCTTTTTCTTAATAAACAAATGAAATATTATATACAAGAATTGTTGAAATTATTCGTTCTTTTCCTTTATCAAAATCATGTACTTGACGACCTTCAACAATGCTAAGATTATGTAAAGAAAATTCATCACGTGTAAAGTTGCCAATCTTAAAAATTATCAAAAAATTTTTTATTTTTCTTTAAAATATTCATTTTACATTTTTTGGTAATCTATTCATGGTTACTTGATACATATTTAAAGTATAATTAATACGTTCACCATATTCATTAAATGCTATATGACCAGAATATCCATCAAATGAAAGCTAAAGAAAATCATGAAAAAAAAATTCTTCTTTTTATTTTGTTTTTTTTTGGGGGGTTTTTTATTTAATTATACTGATTTCATAATATTGAATAATTCTTCACTGAATAATTCATGTTGTTGTTGATTTGTTTTTGTTCGACATTGAATTTTTAAATGATCGAAATTATTATCATTAGAATCGGAATAAACAATTTTAGAACGAATTCGATCATCTAACAACATAATTGCTCTCATATATATTGATAAAGCATCAGCTAATGCTTTCTTTTCAAACTATGTCAAAAAGAATAGAATTTCATTTTTCAAATTTAATCTAAATCAAATTCAATTCATACCGATGGTAGAGACAATCGATCAATTATTGATCCATCCAATGATGGATTCATTGTATATGGTGATCTTGGTACAAAATAAGTTACATTCACACCGCCATAACGAAATGTACGCATATCAATTCGATCAGCTTCCTAAAATATATTTATATTATAATATACATTTCTTGTTAATTTCATTATATACTTACAAGACTCATTAGAATGTAATGGTAATGAGGTGTTGTCATTGCATGATGTCGAATCTAGGTAGAAAATATTATCAAGTGAAAAAAAAAAGTATCTGTAATCAATAATTCAACAATAAAGCGAATATACAACTAATGGCGGTGACACTTCAATACTGTATAGAAAGATTGAGAAAATTTTCTTTCTATATGTTCTAATAGTAAAAATAATGTGAAATATCTCTCGAATACAGTTAGCGACAAAAATTTAAGCAAATTTGTTTTTATTCTTACATTTGTGTTTTTAAATTTTCTTTGACATTATTAAAAGACACAGACTTGATTGATATAGTAATATAGATAATATGAGATGCCGGCTACATGATCTACTATAATAGGAGGGGATTCTATATAGACTTTTCCTAGTGGAAATGATTTCCCAGTATTTCAAATTTTCTAATCAAGAAATTTGTACTAAAAGGAAAATACTTAGGAATACCCAAGAGTAGTAGCGGAAGTACCTTATTTTCGTATAGAAGGCTTGAGGAAATTTTCTTTTTTTATGAGATGATAGAGAAAACGAAGCTCTATTTTTCTGTGCTATTTCATCTCTATTCAACTGGTACCATAATAACAAAAATTTCGACAAGAATTGTTTTTGTGTAAAGTATAACTATAACATTGGATCATATTTTCATACATGTGCATTTTCTTTTCGATTGTTTCTTTGTTCTTCTCTTGGAGGTAGGTAAGTAAGTTTGAGTGTGAGTTAAATCAACAACTATACCCACACCCATCAACACCCCAAGTCTATGTCCTTGAATAATTTGAAAGAAAATTTGAAAACACAAACGTAAGAAAAAATTAATTCGCTTAAATTTTTGTCGCTAACTGCATTTCATCATTCTTTAACTAATATCATGGTAATCATTTTTTTGAATAAGTTTTAATGAAAGCAAGAGAGAGAAAGAATTGTAGTTTATAAAATTGGAAATAGTCAGTCTAATATAACAGTTTTTTTAAAGGGTTTTGAATCGATCCGTTTTGAAAATAAATCTGAGGTGTTTACCGTGAATTTTGAATCATCAGATGTACATTCCAAACTTCCAATCAAAGATGAATAAAACTACGGAAGGTTTAGATGGATAAATTTAATTATTCGGGATTTATAGATATTGTATTCAGTTTCTATTAATAATTATTCAAAAAAATATCCTAGCGCCTTTTTTCTTTGACACGGACATCATTTTTATCAATACAAATCATAACAAACATTTCCTTGCGAAAGAAAAAAGTTCGTTAAGTAATGGATTCGATCCAATCTCGAAATTGAATTTATCATTTCCTAAATAGTCAATTCAGATGTCAGAATTCAATTGTCCGTTCGATTTAGACAGTGAGACGTTATTCTGGTTGTATGTGAATGACTCGAAACTCAATATTATATATCCTTGACGGTTTCATGCTATGCATTGTCTCTATGAAAAATTTTCCTCTTATCTTCAATTGATTTGATTTGAGTTATATATAGGCGTGATCAGTCGGCTATGTACGAATTGCGGACAAAAATCAAGTCAATTAATACATCAGTGTCCGCAATTTGGGAAAGACAATTGATGTTGATTTCTGATTTTTTTTCTTTTTCAAATTGCGGACATTTTGATTTGATTAATCAATTGTTGAAAAATTAAATTATGAGTTCTGTTCTTTTATCAACACATAATATATATGCATCATGAGCACAAAAGAATCATGCTACATAATCAAAAAATGAATATAAACTTTGTTTGGTCAACAACCGAAATAGGTGAAAAGGCTATTCTATATAATAGTTACCTTTATCGATTAAAATGTGAAAATCAGAATGGTTCAATATTCTTTATTTGTACTTTCAAATGGTGTTCTCGTACCATTACTTTAAAAAATACTGCAATTATAAAAACAAATCGTGAAAATCATAACCATTCTCAACAAATCTTGTTCTTAATTTACATTGTTAATCACTCGATAAGAAAAAATGTCCACAATTTGGAAACGAGAAAAAAAAAGATCAACATAAATTCTCTCTTCCAAATCGCGGACACTGATGTGTTAATTGGCTTTATTTTTGTCCGCAATTTGGAAGCTACGGATCAGCCGGTCTCAAGCTCCAATTTTTATATGCTTATGTAGCTTCAACTAGATATTAGAAAAATATGTTTTTTTACTAGTTATAGCACATATACAGTGCTAATGATCTATTATTACTTGAACTTTATATACATAATATTACAATTTTGAGAACATCAGGACTATTAGAACATGTAGAAAAATCTGTGCAAATTATTGTTGATAAAGGATATATTGATGAGGAATACATATACACTTCAAGAAAGAAACCTCGTGAACGTGAATTAACCGATGAAGACAAGAATTTTAATCGTGATATTAATAGGATAAGAGCGACTATTGAAAATATTAATCAACGTCTCAAAATCTATGTTATTTTGAGTAGTGTTTACCGAGGAGCTATTGATGATTTTCATAAGATGACTAAAATCGCATAAGTTGTTTCTGCTCTATGTAATATGTACTTGAATAAACATCCAATTCGTAAATAAACAAGATGATAAGTTGTATCTTCTGATTAACTACTTGATAATAAAACTCTATAACTGATATTTTATGTTGATTAAAATTTCTTAGTAAGAACTGGTGTATGTTAACAAGTTCGATGAAAACTACCTTTAACGAAATGATGATAAGAAAACATTCGGCAACTCTCATTCATAGTAAGATATAAAGCTTAAACAATAATAGATGATTAGCACTGTATATCTATTATAATTAGTAACAAAATTACATTTTTCGGATATCTAACTGAAGGTATATAAGCAAATAAAAATTGGGACCTCCGGCTGGCTGGCAACGCTCATATCGAATGAAGATTCTTTCTTTCCTTTATTGAATAGCATTTTTGAGTATGATAAAAACCCTTCTTTTGAATTGTGAAGTCAGTAATTCACTATGAATCATAAATCAACCGATAAGTTCTACAAAATGGTGCTATTGCATTCAGCTTAATTAGAGAGTAAGGCACTATAATCAAACGTATAATGTTCATGAGTCCCAAAAGAATGAATTTTGGTTAGAATAATCAAATTTCTTATCAAAAATTATTGGTATGTTTAGTATCAGAAAAAAATAAGTGAGTTGATCTATATATGTCCAAAAAAACTCTATAACAACGTTTATTTTCTTTCAAATATGTGCAGCTGTGATCTGCCTCAGGCTTATGTAGAAAAATAAAGTCAGTTGAAACATCTTTTTTATTATTCTATTAATCTGTCATTTTGGATTTTCGTAGATTTTTTAGGATTTAGAAGTGGCTTTTCACTGACGCGGACTAGACCTGCCTATATTTGGACGAAAATAAAAGTTGTTGCAAGATTTTTTTTGACATATTTAGATCGACTCACTTTTCTATGTTGTATTCAAATTTGTAATTTGTTTTAATAGGAAGCCTAGTTATTCTGAGCAAACTCCGCCATGTATCAATCGAAAAGGACAACTTTTGGTGCTCACGATGATTATATGATTGATTAAAGTGCTTCGCTCTCGAATTCAACTCAACGCAATACTATCTTTTTGTAGAGTCTATCGAATGATATATATATATATATAATTCAAAGTGGATAGCTGTCTTTACATCTCAAAAGAAGGAAGAATTTTATCATGACTGTCCTTATACTGTTATACGAGAAAATAATGTCATCTGAAGAAAAAAAAGGAAAAGAACAGTATTTTTGTCATACTCGTATATTCCATTCGATAGAGAAGAGAACGAGCTTTCATTCGATATTAACTCAAATTAAATCAATTAAAGATGAAGGAGAAAAAAATTTTCATAGAAACATTTCATAGCATGAATCAATCAAGAATAGATAATATCGAGTTATGAGTCAGCCGAATACAGCCACAAGAACGTCTAACTATCTAATTCGAACAATAATTGACTTCTGACATTTAAATTGAATAGACTATTTCAAAAGACATAAACTCAACTTCAAGAGTGATCTAATGTTATCGATGGACGATCTCCCCCCCCCCCCCCTCCTTTTATTATTATAATATTAGTTGCAGAATGGTTAATATTTCACAGTACGTTTACTATAGTCTGTTTAAAAAGTCCGTGTGGGTGACTGTTTTTTGAATAACTCGAGAACGCAAACAGCTAGAGACCTGCGATTTTCATCAATCGAAAGAGAAGGAGTTAGGCCATCTTTCTCTCTCTGATATCTTTGAAAAATATAGAAAAGAATGCACGAAAGTAACATACAATACACATGAAGTTTCGATTATGACCTTTGATTTAGATAGAGAGACTTCAGATCTATAGTTCAAAACATAATACACTTTCTTACGTTCCATTACATTTTCATCGAAGTATCCAGCTGTTATGACAAAACATGCAAAAACGTAGTAGAACATCAGCAAAATTCCCTATTGTTTGTGCATCTAAATACATCATTTCATTTGGTCAACGTTAGAATGCAATTAGAAAGCTATTTGAGTTGCATCTTGAGCTATAGATCTGAAGTCCCTCTATCTAAATCAAAGGTCATTATCGAAACTTCATGCGTATTGTATGTCACTTTCATGCATTCTTTTCTATATTTTTCAAAGATGATCAGTTTTAAAAGAATTTCGTCTGAGACATTATCAGAGAGAGAAAGACGCCCTAACTTCTTCTCTTTCGATTGATGAAAGCCGCAGGCCTCTAGCTGTTTGCGTTCTCGCGTTATTCAAAAAACAGTCACATGCATGGACTTTTTAAACAGACTATACGCAAACGCATAGAAAGAAACTTTTCTATACGGTATTGAATTTCCTTTGCTGCTACTTTCGATATGTCCTCAGTAGTTTTTCTTGTCAACACTTAAACAATCTTGTAGAATATGTTTCATATTTTTGAGTATAAATGATTTTAATCTTACTTGCATTAATAATTTAATATAACTATTAATATTATTCAAATCAAGTACAATATAAAGTTCTTCTTTTGAACCTCGATCTTTAATTTCAATACTTTGAAGTAAATTTTTTGTATTATTAGAATTTGTTATATCATTTAATTGACGACCTTGAATATCTAAAATATCATAACTTTTTTCTCGTGCTTGTGCTACGATTAAAGTTTGAAAACGGTCAAATGCTTCATCACCTTCCATAATATAAAATAATTTTGTTATTTTATAACGTTTTATAAATGCTACTAGAGCTGGTAAAAGATCAATTTTCATTGTTAAATGATAAGGTTTATTTAATAAAGTTAAATCTTGTTTATTATAATTTAAATAATTTAATGATATCATTGAAATATGTAAACGTGTCATAAATAATTCAAATAAATGTGTTTTAGGATTATCAATACTTGATATTGAACCAACTGCACCAAATTCAAGACGATTACAAACTAGTATTAAAAAACAAAATTATTTTAGAAATATTCTCAAATTAATTTTTTTTACTTTGATGAACACTTGAATAGATATTTGAATCCTTAGAAAAGAAAAGAAAAGAAAAGGAAATTTTCATGTTTATTCCGTATGTAAATTTTTCAATTGATACTTACGCTAACATTTTTATGAACTGATTGAAAACTAAATTGATTAATTGGCCAAGAAAATGTATCAGTTAAATTTATAGCTGCTGATAAAGCTTCTGAAAAAGTGTTTATATCTACATCATTTGATGTTTTTTTATCCACAAACCAACCTTTAACAAAACATACTTTTGTATATTTTTAATTGAAATTTTTAATATTTACCAATTGGTATATGAATTTGACTTTCAACAAAAATAATAAGAAAAATATAGATGATCGTACTTTGAATCATGTTGTAATAACATATCACATCGTTAGAAAAAAAAATAGTTGTGATAGACCAACGAGAAAAGAAAAAGAATACAAAAAAAGAAGGATAAGACTAGATAGCTTTCATGCTGTTGTTATGTCAATGTGTATGAGACTTTTTTTTTTACATAGTTTCCATGACTGAGTGATTTTATTATCAAGAGATTTAATAATGACAATGGAGAAAAAGAGATAAGTGGAGATGAAGCGGAAAAAAGACATGGTATGAACCATGGTGAACGACGAACAAGTCGATGCTTTTATCGATTGATCGATCATCTGGGAACATAAAAAAATATCATCTGTAAAAAAAAGAAACATTCATACAAATTATAATAGATCGATGTTGCTAATCCTATCATGCAAAATTCTTCGGATATAGTTCTATTTTTTCCTAAATAAATACAATCCTGAACAAAACTAGTCAACCCCTATAAAATACTACTATGCTTTATGATATTAGACTTATATTTTGGATGTATGCGTGCGACAATAAACTCTAAGCACAAGCATTAACTCTCTTTTCATCAATTTACGTCTATTGGAGTTATGATTCACACATGTTCTTTCTCTTGTGACAAAAAATAAATCATATTCATTGAAAATATGCACTCAAAGAGTTTTTTCTTTATCCTTTTGCTATTCCACAAGCTGCTACTATTTTCTTTTCTAGCATTAAAGACAGTTTTATCTGTCTACTTTATTATCGTCAAAACTTCCGACACATAGTCAAGATCTTAGTAATTATCATGTTCTTAAATAATGAACCTATGTTAAAGTTCGAACTAGACTTCAATTCAGTTTTGTAATTCTAAAAATTCTAGAACAAACTTGTCATCTCATGAGAACTTTCTACTAAAATTTTCAAAAGAATAGATCAAAGGTATCGTGAAAAAGATCAAACTTACTTTAAAAAAAACCAACAATTACTCTTTAATAGACATTCTTAATAATAAAACAATATCTTAGTTATTATAATGTGATTTCTAACAAAACTCGGATTAGAGATAGATGCAACAGTATGTCTTTCGAATAATGCATTTGATGAAAATATTTGTAGCAATATTATTAAAAAAGATGATGTTTGAATTATAACTTCAGTAGATGTGAACTAATGGAGAGAGTTTATTATTGCATGCGTACATCCAAACTATCAATTCAATTTCATACAGAACAGTAGAACTTCATTGGAGACGACTACTTTTGTCTAGGATTGTATTTACATTGCTGGATGAAATGCATATAATATTTTATATTGACACATAATCTCAAACATATTCTATCGAATTTTTTAAGATTTTCCATGATGTCATGATCAGGATTTTTATTTCATATAGAGACATACAGAATGGATGAGTAGCTTTCAGTGTATCATATAGACATTTGTGTATGTCAATGAAAATAAAGTTAAAAAAAATATATATTAGACACCAAAAACTTTTTTTGATACATAAAAAGATTAGAAGTATCAGCCAGATAAATTATCATAAAGCAATGCATTTTTGCATTTCGCATTTTTCATGTGAACACTTTAAAAAAAAATTGTGGCTGATTGACACACATAGGACATGTATTTACTAATTGACTGCATGAACTACACAAAGCCAAATGCAAACAAGGAGAGGCTACAATTTCTTTGGAATTTACGAAACACCATTCACAAGTATTGTCATTATCTGAATAAAAAATAAAGAAAGAATTGTAAATTATAATAAATTATCTTCCAGTAATTATATAGATGAAACTTACTTGTAGATCGTGTTATATTTTCTTCAGGTAACAATTGTACATAACAACAATCAGGAACTCGACGAAGATGTTGAACATTGATCTCATTCGATGGAACATGATGAAAATTTGTGACCCCAATTTCGCAATGATAGCATTGAAGTCTTGTTCCATTTCCGCAATAGTAAAAACCAGATCTGACTAATGCTTCAATATTTGTTGGAAGTCCACCAGGAAAAGTAGAAAACGATGCATATCGACGTGTTGGAAGCCTATAATACGACTTAGATGGGAAAATAAGTGTTGAATTGGGTTGAGTCACATCAGAATCTATTTTTTCTTGTATAAAAATTTCACGTAAATCTTTGGTGGGTACTGAACTTGAATGCATTGAATGTGATGAAAGAAGAAAAGGACAATCTGGTGACAACTTTTGATGTATACTCCAAGGATTATCATCATATTTCCAAGGATTATGTTCGGCACCACAATATAAACATATCACGGAATCTGTCTCTTTTGTCGTATCTAAGAACCAACCAGCAGTAATCATTTCAAGTCGAGATGGTGACGAAAGAAACCAATGCGAAAATGATTTTTCACGTTCAGTTGTTTTCTCAATCTCTTCTGTAGAATCAAACGCATAACCTATTCAAGAAAAATTAATTCATATATATTTGTCAGATATGTAACATATCCTTCATCGACCAAAATAAACGACACAGCTAACTTGCTCTATTTATTCTTTATACTATCATAGTTGGATCTCATATTTATACTATAAATATACCTTTTATCATGCAGTTTATTCTATGATATTTAGTTTCAAACAGCAAGTACTTATTGAGAAAACTGCAAATTTATTTCATATATCTCTATATGATTGAAATCGAAATTTGTTGTCATTGCTGTGTCGCTACACTTATTAGTTTTATTTACATCTTAAATACTAGTTTAGTGCTTTTTCGAAATAGGTTGCAGATTAAATATTTCTACTTGAGTATGCCTATCGCATAATGAACTACAAAGTTAGTTCGTTCAGCAATAACATCTAAGTGTCATTTAGAGTAAACGAAAATCATCAAATAAGAGTTACTGTAAGAATTCTAAGATGATTATTGTTAGCAACGAAAACTGCAAGAAGACAGACATGTAAACGATGTGATGTAACTTACTCGACAATTTAATGTACGATACAATGACTATGAGAGAAATGTTTTATCGGCAATCTATTTCGAAAAAAAGCACTAAGCTACTATACAAGATGTAAATGAAACTAATAAGTATAGCGATACAGCTACGACAACAGATTTTGATTTCAATCATATATTAGTATGTGAAATAAGTTTGCAGTTTTGTCAACAAATTCTAGCTGTTTACAACTGAAAAATTGAAAAATAGACTAAGTGACATTTGTTTTAGTCAAGTGGATATAGGCATCATCCAATATTATGTATAATTAGTAAAACACTTACGGATTCTTTCTGCTTTTTGTCTGATTTGCTTCATTTTTATACTTGGTATAACAATATTTTCTTTTTTACCATTAATATGTTCAACTTGTTTTTGAAGAATTAAACAAGCTACTTGCAAATCACATTCAGATACAAAATCATCGCCTAAAAAAATATTGAAAAGATACAAAAGAAAATATCTTATTTAATAATTTACCTTTTATTTGTAATTGATTTTCCCAACATCGTTTAATAATTGATAATTTAAAATTTTGATCTAATAAATGTCGTGACATCGGTAAATCTAATCGAGCAGCAACAAGTCTTGATAAAGTGCAATCATCAGGTATTAATAATTGTTGACTATTTGTATTTAGATTAGTATTTAACAAATCATTAGAACCTATTCTTTCTCTGAACTCATTAGCTCTAGTACGCTCTAGAAAAAGAAATTAAGTTTTATCTTAAAATTATTAAAATATACCTTGTTGTGCTCGTTTAGATTCTTGAATTTTACGATATAAATCATCACCACACAATTGTCGAGCATATGCACAATGTGGAAACCAACGTGCATGTTCAATTATTGGATTATCATTTGGACCCCAGCTGTGTAATGATCCATTACAATAAAAACAAGTAACAATAGTTTTTGTACCTGTATAGAAAAATCCTGCTCGAACTAAATCATCTACTGATGGTAAATCTTCATTTGGCCATGTTGCAAATGATGCAAGACGTTTTGATATTTCTGAATAAGCTGGATTACATGAAGCTGTAAGTATAATATCATTAGATTGTAATGGATCAAGATTATTTGATATTGATGAACAATTGTCTCCAACTGAACTCGTTGAATTTTCATTAACAATAGATGCCGATAAAACTACAGGATGCATTAATTTTGCTTTGACATATATACAATTAGGTGAAAGTGTTTTATGTATTTCACATGGATCATCTGTATGTGATTTCCATTGTTGACAAATAAGATTACAATAAATACATATCACTCGATCACCAAGATTACAATGAAAAAATCCAGCTTCAATCATTTGTACACTTGATGGAATAGTGCGGTGTGACCAATGAGAAAACGTATGTCTTCGCACTTGTTGAAGTAAATCTGATTCGAATAAAGTATTTGAGAGAGATTCTGAATTTGTTGTTTCGATTTTTTGGCGTTTAGAAGGATTTTCTTGTTCATTTGATACCGATGCACTTCGAACAGCAGGTGTTGATGAAGAGGAAGAAGCAGGCTTATTTGATAATGAAATTGGCATCATAGAACAGACGAATGAACAATTAGGTTGGCGTGTCAAATGAATAGTAAATGGATTCATATTCAATGTCCAATCGGATACTTCAAGTCCACAGTCCTTACAGCGAGCTGTATCTCCATTACCTGTATATTCAAATCCGGCGGCAGACATATAGTTTGTACTATGAACGCCTGGTCTGTTTATTGATTTAGCTAGTAATTGAATTCGATTACGAATACTAGCAAGAGTTTGTAAATCTTCTTTCTTCTTATCGAATTGTTTCGATGAAGCATTCATTGTTTCGTATTTATTGAACTGATCACTTTGAATAACGATACGAAAGTTGACTAAAATCGATATGTTGCTTTAACTATCGAATAAAATCTAAAGAAGATATAATATATAAATGAATGTTTTTTTTTCTTGAAAATTTTGAGAAGACTTTAATTATTCAAACGACCCTATTAACTATTCCTGGAGGCATAAAATAGAAACTAGAATCTTATGTGTCTTTTGATGATTGTACAGATATAATAGGATGCTCGTATTTCTCCAAAGACAAATTTTATTCTCTTAACACTGAAAACTCTCTAACATCAAATTCATAAATAGTGGAATAACTTTTCTGTCATAGATCTAAAGAAAAGATTGTTGCATATCGATTCTAAATGATCGCAAAAATCTGCGTTATTTATATAAAGATCTGATGCTTTTGTCTCGTTCTAGTATGTCCTCGATCCTCCTCAAAAAACCCATCGACAATGCAGTATAAATTCAATGTTATATAACTTGTTGTTTTATAGGGAATTTTCCAAGTGCGAACAACAGAAAGAAAAAAAAAACCCATTTCGTTGTACAGGTATGACGGAGAAAGGATTGTTGACGAAAGGAACCAATAAAAAAGAAGACGTGTGGCGGCATGGGATAGATGTAATTAATGCAGAACGAGAAAAAACCCTAGGTCTGATATGACTCAAATGAACTTCAAAAGTTGGAAATTATTTGAACAACGTAATTAATTCTTAAATTGAAGAAATGACACAAATTTTGATTATTTGAAGTGAACCAAAGTTCGCCATTACTGATATATTTCGAAATTCTTCCAGTTTGCAGTGATAATATCTAGTTAAAAGAAGGCTCTATGTGTGAGAGCAGAGAACAACTATCGAGACACTCACCCCACACCCATACCCTCGAAATAACTTATTTTTTCTTCTTCTTGCTCCATATATTTACTTTTAGAAGAAGCATATGTAAAAAGTAAATGATGACGACAGTGATAACGTGGGATTATGCATAACTGCTCTTTACGTATGATATACATTCGCTCGACGCCACATGACAAAATGCTATTGTGGGAAAGACATGAAAAATGCTTATCTAGAAGTACGCAGAAACAACCTCTTTGACTAATATTATTACTTCCTTTTTTTTACTCTTTTAAAAAATATGATATTTCAGTCATTACTTGAATATCATATTCAGTTGTTAAGTCTAAGATTTGACAGTGTACGAAAGAAAATTTTAAAAAATTGTATGTTTTTTTTTCTGTACATTACTTATCAATTGCATTGAATCAAATTATAATAGTAAAATATAAACGAGAAACTTTTATATTGTCATGATTTTACGTATATTTAGTATTTTCTTGTAAAATTATGATTGCTGTGAGAAAACTTTTTTTTTTCTGTGTTGTCATTGAAAGGTAACGATCGTGTTTCTATGGACACTATTTACTGTTACTTAACAGAAGCAAACATTATCATGACAAAAAAAACACGGAAGTAGACTATTTCTATGTATCGCAATTTTTTATGGTTATTCAAATACGATGAATTAGTAGAAATCAGTAAAAAGTGCGGCACTTTATTTAAGATGAAAGAAGTGAAGTTTCATGTAAAAATTTAGTAAATTATCGCATCGTTCCAGAATACTGCCATCTAAAGGTATATGCGAACAAATGCTTCAATTTCCCGACGACATATAGGACACAAGCGAAGCGAGTGTCCACAAGCGACGCAAGTGGTCAGATGACCACAAGGAATGCAAGCGAGACGCTTTTCTTCCGTTAAACATAAAACGCAACGATTCGATGATAATGAATCGTCTGTTTGATTTTGCGAAGCAGGATCTACAGTAGACGGTTCTAGATTTTTCGTTTGTTGGTCAGTAACTGTTGATACTGGTGCATGTATTTCACTTCTCATAGATTCCGATGATGTTGGCATTTCAACATCAGTGTTGGTTGTAGTATCCATCAGTGTTGATGAATTAGCAGCTTGTTCACGAGCATGTATTGCTATAATATTATCAAAATCAATAATCTTTTATTTACTAGCTTCTGTTATAGCTACCTGCTTGTTCTGTTTTACGAATCTTGTCCATGGCTACACTGGGTATTATAATATTTTCTTTTTTTCCATCAATATGTTCGATTTGTTTTTGAAGAATTATACATGCTACTAGAAGATCACAATCATCAATGAAGTCATCGTCTAAGATATCAATTAATACAAGATTCGTTTTTTTTATGCGATTAAATAGAAAGATTTTTATTTACGTTTTATTCGCAGTTGATCTTCGAAGCAACGTTTAACGATGGATAGTTTGAAGTTTCGATTGAGTAAATATTGTGAAATAAATAAATCAAGTCGAGCAGCAACAAATCTTGACAAAGTATTCTCATCTGATATGTTCAGTGATCCTCTATTCGTGCTATTTCCAGCTATTTCAAGTTGTTGGTTCGGTTCCTTGATCTTAGCTCGTTCTAAACATAAAAAGTATACAATCAGTCGTCATCACATGGAAGAATAAAATAGGAACAAACCCTGTTGAATTTTTTTCGATTCTTGTATTTTTCGATACAAATCGGGACCACATAACTGTTTAGCATACGCACATTGTGGAAACCAACGAGCATGTTCAATCATTGGATTATCATTTGCTCCCCAGTTTTGCAGGGATCCATTACAATAAAAGCATGTCACAATAGTTTTAGTGCCAGTATAAAAGAAGCCAGCTCTGACAAGATCATCAACAGATGGCATATTGTCATTTGACCATGTAGCAAAAGACGCATGACGTCTAGGAATTTCAATATAATTTGTATGACATGCAGCAGTGTATACAATTTCATTGCATCGAAATAGATCAGTGCTGTTCGATACTAATGCATGACCATTGTTTGAAAATTCATTGATAATTAGAATGGATGCTGTTTGTTGATGTTTTAGCATTGCAATAACATATGGACATTTTGGAGAGAGTATTTTGTGTATTTCACATGGATCCTCTGTATGTGATGTCCATTGTTGAAAAATAATATTGCAATACAAACAAATGACCCGATCACCAACATTACAATTGAAGAATCCAGCTTCGATCATTTGTGCAGATGAAGGTGATGTTCGATGGGGCCAATGTGAAAAAGTACGTTTTCGTATTCGTTTTAGTGTGTCAATTTCGATAAGTCGACATGGTTCATAAATTTCTTGCGTTTCGTCTGTTTTCTGACGTTTAGATGGTTTTTCATTATCGGTTGATATTGGAGTAATAGAAAGTAGATTCATCGTCGGTGGTACAGATATAATTTGATCGGGAAGAATAGAACGAACAAAGGCGCATGTCGGACTGCGTTGCGCATGAATAGTAAATGGCTTCATTTCCAGTGTCCATCCGCATACTTCAAGTTCACATGTATCACACCTAACAGTATCTCCATTGTCTATATAATAAAATCCAGCTGAAAGCATGGCTATATTAGAATGTACTCCTGGTTTTTTCAGCAGCGCTCGACATGAGTCTAAAACTTTACGAAAGATACCTCTCTTTTGAGGGGGTAAACACTGTTCTAGCTGAATTCCAGTTTTGAGTTGTCTGGCATCATTTGATGCCGACGATTCAATATTTAAGGTTATATTTAGCTTTGTCGCCAAATCGGTTCTAGAAGAGAGAAATAATTCTATTTATTGTGTTATTGTCCATAAATAATAAATTGTTATGTATTTATTATTTTAGTTGTGCGTCTTATCTTATCTTCTTTTTATATGTTTGCTAAATTATATTCTCTCGTGCACTTTCCCCCATAAAAATTCCTGGGAAATTCCTGTTGGCAGTCCTGAACAAATCGACCGAACAACAAGAAAATCTGTGACAGATATCTCATTCGGGAGTCCCTGAAGAATCCTGAGAGCTTCCCAGACGATCATCTGGGGATTCCCTCCCTGAGATTTTCTCGTTGTTTGTTTGGCTTCTTGGAGACTTCTGATAGGAACTCCTTGAGGATTTTTCTAGAGGAAGTAAACTAGAGTTTACTGTTATCATACTCATTTATTTGTTAGTTATGGGAGTCATACACTAAATATAGTGAGTTGAAGTAATTCGGATTGCTCTATCAAATTCTGCCGAAGATAACTTCGAAAACTTCTCTTACTTCTCCAATACATTTAGAAGTGTTGATGTTGAGAGAAAAGTTGTTTGTCCCACTTTACTCTATCTTTCTATGTAGGATAAGAAAAAAAAATAAGCTAGTTTAACTATGAATTATACCACTTAATCAAACAACTGACTGGAGTGTTCTTTTTCTATTCAATTAGCACATCATTCACTAAAGTTCTTATTTTTACAATACATCTCAGAAAAATACGTTTGAGTTTTCAAATTCATTAATGTCTCAGCTATATGATGAGACAAAAATCAAACCTACCAGCATCTAATATCGTTGAATTACAAGACTACTAATGAAATAGCATGACATCGCAATGTCATCAAAATTCTTATTTATTTAGTCTTAGTGCTGAAAACAATTGAAAAGAAACCATACAAGACATAGAGAGTCAGAAATGTGCATCGCACCTAAAAAACGAGGTACAGTTGCTCTATAATATCTCTTAAAGAATAATGCTTTATTTCTGAACACTCATCTAAGAAGAACAACATAAAGTTGAAAGTAACACGAAAGAATATTTGTTTCCACAAGAGGTAACTGGACATATATATATATTATCCTATGTTCATTTCTGTTTTAACTCATTTTGTAGTTAAATGTGTGCACATTTAAATTTCAGTTAATCAACATTGATTATGATTTTATTTATTAATTTAATAAACAACTATGAGATAGAGTAATTAAATAGGCACAGTCATCCGACGGACAAATATGAAGAGAAGCAGAGACGAGAAGCCATCCGGTCGCCGTGCTCCAAATTTTCTTTGGCAGCGCGAGTGATGCACTTCTCTATACAGATTCTTATATTACATGAAACACTGATTTTGTCACTAAATAGTCCAAAGAAAAT